GTTTTTGATTCGTGCCAGTAATGCTGGGGTGAGATGGTTATCTCACTGTGGTTTTAATTTGCATTTCTCTAATGGCTAGTGATCTCGAGCATTTCATGTGTCTGTTGGCCGCTTGAATGTCTTCTTTGGCAAAGTGTCTGTTCATTTCCTTTGCCCATTTCATAGAAACGTTTTAAGGACATTTTCTAGGAGCTCCCTAGCATAGGAGCATTCTCTGTAGGTTCTGAGTACTCACTGGTATGTCGTATTAGTCTGATCACAGGTGTCTACTCCTTGAAATTCAGAGGAGAGAGAAAATGCAAGGAAAGTGGATCCTCAACAAATTATGGCTCTGTTCCAGAAAGCGCTATCTCCACCACATCTTGCTATGTAAGTGGCAATAGGGCTTCTCATAGCCCAGTTCTATTCCTTCTGTGTTCTCAGCTGCATTCCATCGAGGTCACTGGGAGTCACACGAGGGAGGGGCAGGTGAGTGTAAGCATCCCCAAGAGCGGGCACTAAGCTTTAATATCAAGGTAATTCTAGGATAGTATCTCCTGAAACGCCCTGCATTACAGTCCAGGAAAAGCTGTGCACAAAAGGGCCAAATACATCTCCCTCGCAGCAGTTCACAATGCACATAACGTATGAAAGTATCTGGAAAGGCTGGCACCAAGGAACGTATCTAATTTTGCTTAATCTGTTTCTCAAACATATTTGATCATAGAACCCTTCTCTTCCACATGAACACCTATCAGACACTGTGGAAAAGGCTATTCTAGGGGAAGCTACCAATAGAAGGGTAGGACCTCACTGGGTGATTCCCTCCCTACTACAGGAAATGTTCATCTGCTCAGCATATTAAACTCACTGCTTCAAAGAAAAGTCCATCATTCTATCCATCACTTGTACATAAGGCCTAAAATGCCATTCCAGATCAAGCTCAAAGCCCCAGAGAATGGCACCAGGCTGTGCCAACTCCATGGATGAGAGATCTGTGTAACTGGTTTAATGCTCTGTTGTCGCCATCTCGAAATTCTTGTTTTTATTGTGTTTTAGGTGAAAGTTTATAGAGCAAATTAGTTTCTCATTAAACAATTAATACACATACTGTGACACTGGTTGCCAACCCCATGACATGTCAACACTCCCCCTTCTCGACCTTGGGTTCCCCATTTCCATTCACTCAGCTTTCCTATCCCCTCCTGCTTTCTCATTCTTGCCGCTGGGCTGGTGTGCCCATTCAGTCTCGTATACATGGTTGAACTATGTGTATTATTGTTTTATGGGCTTGTCTAATCTTTGCTACCTCAGGAGTGACTACAATACTGAGTTAAAAGGGTGTCCAGGAGCCATATTCTCGGGGTTTCTCCAGTCTCTGTCAGACCAGTTAAGTCTGATCTTTTTTAATGAGTTTGAATTTTTACATTTTTCTCCAGATCCGTCCAGGACCCTCTATTGTGATCTCTGTCAAAGGAGTCAGTGGTGGTAGCCGGGCACCATTTAGTTGTGCTGGACTCAGTCTGGTGGAGGTTGTGGTAGTTGTGGTCCATTAGTCCTTTGGACTAATCTTCCCTTTGTGTCTATGGTTTTCTTCATTCTCCCTTGCTCCAGACGGGGAAGGACCAGTCGACGTATCTCAGATGGCTGTTCGTAAGCTTTTAAGACCCCAGATGCTACTCACCAAAGTAGGATGTAGAACATTTTCTTTATAAACTATGTTATGCCAACTGAGATAAATGTCCCCTTAGATCATGGTCCCCAGCCCTCAGCCCAGTAATTCGGTCCCTCAGGGAGTATGGATGTGTCTATGAATCTTCCACGACTTTGCCTTGTTCATGTTGTGCTGACTTCCCTAGTATCATGTACTATCTTACGCTTCACCAAAGTTACCACTATTGTCTATTTAGTGTTTTTCTCTGCCCACCTCTCCCCTCCCTCATAACCATCAAAGACTGTTTCCTTTTTGTGTGGAAACCTTTTCATGAGTTTTTGTAATAGTGGTTTCATACAGTATTTGTCCTTTTGCGATTGACTTATTTCCCTCAGCATAATGCTCTCCAGATTCATCCATGTTGTAAGATGTTTCACAGATTCATCATTGTTCATCGTTGCATAGTATCCCACTGTGTGTATGTACCATAGTTTATTAACTCATCTGTTGATAGACATCTAGGTTGTTTCCACCTTTTTGCTGCCGTGAATAATGCTGCAATGAACACAGGTATGTATATGCCTATTCGTGTAATGGCTCTTATTTCTCTAGGATATACTCCTAGGAGTGGGACTGTTACATCATACAGTATTTCTATTTCTAGGTTTTTAGAGAAGTGCCATATAATTTCTGAAAGTGGTTGTACCATTTTGTATTCCCACTACCAGTGCAAAAGAATTCCAATCTCCCTACAGCCTCTCCAACATTTGTTATTTTCCATTTTTTTGATTAGTGCCAATAATGTCAGAGTGAGATGGTATATTATTGTAGTTTTGATTTGCATTTCTCTAATGGCCTGTGATCGCGAGCATTTCCTGCCACCTCGAATTTCTTAACCATTTTGAATAAGGGGCCCCACACTTTCATTTTGCACTGGGTCCCAAAAATTATATAGCTGATCCTGGCACCAAGATATACTTAAAATGTCAGCATGTTGATGAACACCTCACTGGATGCTCAGGGATGGCGAGCATTGGCTCACTGCACATAAACACCTAGTCTCCCAGGCCACCCCTACCCTTACTCTTCTTGAACAAAGAAGCTAACACCTTCCAGAATTGGCTGGGTCTGCATGGAGTATTTCTTAATTGTTATCTTCCTAGAACATATTCACAAAGCCATCCAGCTTTAACTTGATGGGCTTATTAAGGTCTCGTCTAACCACTCTGCAGCATCTTCAAATCACTGTCAGCAGCACACTTGGAATGCACAGCACACAGAATGCCCTTCCTCCTTCCACACTCAGGCATAATCTTTCATTTCCTCACACAGTTAAAGAAAAGCTTGCTTTTAGTTAACAGGTAATGACAGCTCTGGTAGCACAATGGTTAAGTGCTTGGCTGCTAATCCAAAGGCTGGAGGTTTGAACCCACCCAGTGGCTCCATGGCAGAAAGACCTGGCAATCTGCTCCCATAAAGATTACAGCCTCGGAAACCCTATGGGGTAGTTCTAATCTATCACATGGTGTTACTATGAGTTGGAATTGACTCAGGTGGCACATACGATAACAATGATAGAAAAGAACAGAAATTAATGGTTACATTAGAAGAGAGTGGGAGGGAACAACTATGTTGCTAACTTGGAGAAACCCATCATTGAGAGTGCTTATTTACTATGGTTTGGAGGGTTAGAAACTCAAAGCTGGAAGAAGCCTCTGGGATACTCTAGTCCAATCTGCTCTGTTTGATCAACGAGGAATCTGAGCTGCCAAAGGTCACACTAATAATTAAGAAACCCTGTCTCCCAGAGTCCTAGTCCTGCCTACTTACCCTTTATAAGCTATTTTCTAAAACTTTCCCTATAAGCTATTTTCTGAAACTTTCCCATCAACGAGATACTGAAAGAAAACAAACTAATATACCTCCGTCTCTTGCTCAGTGATACGCACCTCTAAAAAAACTACTCAAAGCCACAGATTAAAAGAGTGATAACACACATATGCAGTATATATTACAGTAGAATTTTCACTGCATCAGGAATTGGTGGACCTGGGTCAATTCCCTGCCCCCTCATTAGCTGTATAATTTGTTTGGAGGTGAACTGGGAGGGAGGCGTGAGCTAGGGAGGTACTAAGCCTTAGTTTACTAATCTATAAAACAGATATATAGCATTTGCCTATTTGTCTCAAAGGATTTGAATAAGGATAAAATAACATGTGAAAGCACTCTCTGAACTAAAAAGCCCGGTGCAAACATTCCACCATCCACAAATGACCGAAATTATATTTCTAAATACATAGTCTTACCTTGCAAATGGTATAAAGGAAAGGCTATACCTAAAATGAAAAAGAAACAAAATATCAAATCAAATGAAGGGAGTGGAAGACTACAGGGTGGAAGGGGCTTGAGCTATGAGAGCATCTGCAGTGATTTATCCAGTTCCCTCCCTTCCTTAGTGAGTGTCATGCACTCAAATGCACACACACGCTAACACCCACACACTGTGCCAGGTATATGGCCTGGGAGGGGAGTGCCATGCCATCCATGGCCACAGAAAGATGGTGAGTGGCCCATGTGGAGACAGCCTCTGTGACCTCAGTCTCATCGAGGTACTGCTTTAACCAAATGGGCCAGCAATCACCTAGCACAGGCAGATTCCAGCTGTCCAGATGGCATAGTAACCTTCTTCTGAAAGAATACCAAACAAAATCCAGATCAGTTATCCTCAACAGAATACAACTTTTACCCAATTGGCATAAATTTTCTGCTCTGCTGCTTTCTACTGACTTTAAAAGAAGCAAAAAAAGAGAACAGAAAAGGGCATGTGGGGGGCGGTGGACACTACTAACTACTCTATGGATTAAAATGTAACAAAACAATGATTTTTCAAGAATCCAAACCCAAAGATACATTGGTGAATCCAGTCTGGTTCAATCAGAAAGGAGCCATGTGGCAGGGAGCCTGCCCATAACTCCAAAGAACCAGGCCCGGCATGTCAGGCACATTGCTAGTCAGCCCTAAGGATAACAAGTACATTTGGAATATGTCAGAGTTAAGATGCAGTATCACCATTCACCTGTGCCACATGAACGCTGAACCTTTGAAAACTGGCTCCAAAATAGGTCTCTAAGCAAATGAAAGGGTGTGTGTGGGTATGTGGGTATGGGGGGGGGGGTTGTGTGGGGGCGTGTGGGTGTCAGGGTGGGTATGGGGGGTGTGCGTGGGTGTGGAGGGTGGGTGTGTGTGGGTGGGTGTGGATGTGGGTGAGTGTGGGGGGTGTGGGTGTGTGTGCCAATTTCCCCCCAAAAGGAAACCAAAATACAAATATCAGCCATCAAACCAGGCTCTATCAGAACCTAATACCAAAATGTGTGTGCTGTATTAAAATCAAACCATTATTCCTTTCCATATCTTACAATCACCACGTACAGAAGCTCCTTTACTTGTAACACGGCAAATTCCAAAAAGCAGTTTGAAAGTACACTTATTCAAAAGCCCAAAATTACTAAAGGGGAGGGGCACGTGAATTTGCAGTCTCAAGACCCATTTCTACCAAACAGGAGTGTAATTCATTCTTCAAAGCTTTAAGACTTTCACAGTCCACTATTCTTTGCTTATACACATTCTAGCAAACATTTTTTCAACAATAGATCAGTCGCATCTACACTGAAACTGTTCTAATAGATGGCACCCCTTGATGAGCTTCGAAAGTATGACAGCAGTGTCTTCGCAGCTAGAGTCCACATGTGCCGCCAGCCCTCTCACTCAGATGCTGCACAGTCTGAAAGGGCAAGAGCCTACAGCACTTTCACTATGTGTGGCCCTTGAGTGACCATTTCCTAGTCTTCACCTTAATAACCAACAAGCTAACAAGCCTCCAGGGCGTATGCTGACCCTGCAGCCCACAGCCAATTTCCCCTCTCACCAGTGGCTGCGCCTTATGCTCTGCTGATGATTCACTCTGTGCTTGTGTGTATGACTCATCTCGTCAAAAGTGTAACTCTCATTACTCTTCTTACCACTTTCCTTTTTCCTTACTGTCTATTTAAATCACAAGCCTCTTTTTACCAGCCCTTATAATACTTTAGTTGTCCTTGCACCTCCAGACATGATTGGTTTAGTAACATTCAAACCCTCTCAAAATTCACCAGGAGCCCAGGAAACAGCCACGTTAGCAAATGAATAGATTCACGTGACCACACAAGACCAATGATGCCATCTGCTGACAGTGGGCCGAACCAACGCTTGTGCTCTGGAGTGTGATTTCATTGGCATCATGAGAACTCTAAAGCTAAGAAGCCTCTGTGATTCTTAACCCTCCTACCCATACCACGCGGGGTTTTGTCTCCTGCAACTGCATCGGTCAGAAATCCAATGTGGGAGGGACTGTTGAAAAGGTTACTTACCACGTCATGGCCAGAGACTGCAAAATGCAGAAGATGAGGGCAAGTCCCTTGTTATGCCACTGAAAGAAAAATGTTATCGTTACATGAAAGTGTATGGCAAGAGGCATAAACCAAGAAGGTTACGAAAAATTAAAATACATGCTCACCCAAAAGGCAGAACACAGGGTAAGTACCAAACACAACTAGAGGGAGAAACGAAACATTTAATTAATATCATGACAACATTTCAAGAAACAAACAACTCTGAAGTTACCACAGCAACCAGCTGCCTTCTTTCACTTCTAAAGCATTGAATGCACCTGACCACCCATGTCTGACAGAAGAATTAACATCCCAATGAAATCAAAACTGGCCAAGAAGGAATCCTATAGATTAGAAAGAGAAAAATCCTTTTCTACTTTCAAGTTCACCTGAAATCTCTGTCCAGCAAACAAAATCACATGTCTAACCTATACAGATGGCCACTTAACACAAATCTCTCTGGCCCAACTCTAGAAGTCCCTCGAGTGGACAGGACATGTGAGGACAAAGGTTAACATGAGATGTCATTCTCACAGTCAGCAGTCACAGTGATTTGTTTACATGTCATCTAACACTTTTCCTAGGTCCTTTCTTAGAAAGTCCTTTCTATAGAGCCTTGTCCAGGCTATCTATATCCTGGGCTAGCCAACAACAACTGGTGCTCAAGCCACCATCTCTACCTTCCATCCCGTCCTCTTAACAATAACTACTCAACAAACATCTCCTCTGTGTCCACCACTATGCTCAATGCTCTTAAGGGACCTAAAATGGTCATGGCCTAAGAGACCTTATCTATTTGAACAAATAAAACTAGTAAGAGTATCATATCAAGTTCCAAATGCTGCAATACTAATCACTATAATAGAAGTCCATTATAATGGTTCAAAGACAGTTGGTGGGACAGGAAAAGTGCAACAAAACTGCAGGCAATGATATCCAAGCAGGGAACAGGACCACAGGAGAGTAGACAGGCCTCAGGAAGACTGAGGAAAACTGAATAAATATGATCCCAAAGTCAGATAATAATTAGGAAAGAAGAGTACATCCTAGAAGACGGGGTAACCAGTCCAGAGAATGAACCCTGTTGTTTCCGAGCTAATCTCTCTAAACTCTGCCTGTGTGGCTTCAATCAGCACCAGCTGTCTTACTCCCAGCTGTCTTACTATCATATCAATTTAGCTAATTTGACAAACAACGCCCCCTGGAGATGCTGTATAGAACTGAACAGAACTGAACAGATACAGTATCTGCCACCAACAAAGGGGATAATTATTTAAAAAAAGAAGAATGCTCCCTCCTTCCACAGTGGTTACAGAAATCAGGTAATAAGTAAAGATGAAAGGAAAAAGGAAAGAGGTGCTTAGTTCTGAGAGGAAAAAATTCCATACAACAGCAGAAATAAAACCTTCCATTTCAGAAGTCCAGCTAAAAGGCAGACCTTACCAGCATCACGGTTGTTGCTATCAAACGCGTAAGCTCAAACATTCGCTTCAACTGTTTCATTGGTCCCATGAGGAAGATGGTGCTGAGAAACAAGCATACACAAGCCATTCAGACCAGAACAGAACCACAATTAGGCAAACTGTGTGGCCTCCCCACTCCTCCTCAAGATTACCTGTGGCAATAACAGCAGTAATTGTAGCTAACATCTGACAAGCTCTTACTCTGCACCAGGCACTGCATTTAAGGGCCTTTTGTGCATTGCTCTCATTTAACCCAACAATCTAGGTGGTAGGAACAATTATTAGACTTATTTTACAGATGAGGAAACTGAAGCCCAGAGGGGTTAGTTACTTATCCACAGCCACCCAACAAGTAAATGGTACAGTTAGGCTGAAATGCATGTCAGCCGTACTCAGGACCACTAAGTTAGACCACCCCACTCTCTGCAGTACTACCTTGCCTCTACCTTGACAATCTACCCATGGAAACAAAACAAGCCAAAAAAGGACATAGGTAATTTAAAAAAGAAGAACCACACCTTACAAACTTAGACTGTGTCATGCATTGAACTGTGTCCCCCAAAAATATCTATCAACTTGGCTAGGTCATGATTCCCAGTATCGTATGATTGTCTACCATTCTGTCATTTGATGTGATTTCCCTGTGTGTTGTAAATTCTATCACTATGATGTAATAAGATGGATTAGCGGCAGTTATACTGATGAGATCTACAAGATTAGATAATGTCTTAAGCCAATCTCTTTTGAGATACAAAAGAGAGAAGTGAGCAGAGAGACAGTGGGACCTCATACCACCAAGAAAGCAGCGCTGGAAGCAGAGCGCATCCTTTGGACCCGAAGTTCCTGCACTGAGATGCTTCCAGACCAAGGGAAGACAGATAACAAGGACCTTCCTCCAGAGCCAACAGAGACAGAAAGCCTTCCCCTGGAGCCGGTGCCCTAAATTCAGACTTCTAGCCTAATGGACTGTGAGAGAATAAATTTCTCTTTGTTAAAGCCATCCACTTGTGGTGTTTCTGTTATAGCAGCACTAGATAACTAAGACAGGTTGTTTATGTTAAAAAGTACAGCATTTCATTTTCTTTCATGAACAATTCTAATGATAATAATATCTAGTATTTATTGAAATTTTGCTAAATGCCAGATATCAGGTACATTACCTCATTTCAACCCTCAACAACCCCGTGAGTTAGGTATTATTATACCTATTTTAGAGATGAGAAACTGAAGCTCAGAAAGATTAATTTACTTATCCAAGATCACACAGCTAGGAACCCAAAGAGCCGGCATTCAAACTCATATTGATTTGATTCCAAAGCTCTGAAACACATCACTAGAGTGTCTTCTATTATGAATGGGACTTGAGAGATGGCTAGTGAGAGAGACTGATCACAAACTAATCATTCCTCACACCTAAACACATCAAATACTGGAGCCAGTTTTACATGGTGTTTCCTGAGCCCTAAGGACAACGTCCCATGTGGCGTCACCCCAGCAGTAGCTGTTACAGCCAGCATCTGATACAAGCCAACAAGCAGATGACATGACAGAGTGTTCAGTAAAAACAAAAACTTTAAAAATAAGTCTACCCCTCTTTGAAGTGCTATTAAGTTTCAACTTGAATTCAAGGCTACACTATTAGCTCAAGTGTCTGAGCTGAGTGCAGTCTTTAGCCTATGTTGAACACAAATCAATAGCCAAGACTGGTCTTAAAAATTAAACTCAGCACATGTATAAAAATGTTAACAGATTACAGGTAAAGCCACAAACTCCTAGACATACCCTGAAGATAACTATTTTCTCCCTTTATTACTTCCCTAGGCAGTGCTGGGAAGAGCCAGTCCCACTAGGGTTTGCTAACTAGTTCTTTTGGGCTAACCAATACACCTATATATTTATGTTCAGCCTAGACTCTACATTACAACCTACACTGTCTGCCCAAAGCAAAACCCACAATAGTATTCAAGAGAGCTTGAGAGGCAAGATTAGACATCTAAGCCCAGCATTTTACTGTCCTAAGCCCTGGTGGCATAGTGGTTAAGAGCTCAGCTGCTAACCAAAAGGTCAGCAGTTCAAATCCCCCAGCCACTCCTTGGAAACCCTATGGAGGCAGTTCTATTCTGTCCTACAGGATTGCTGTGAGTCAGAATCAACTCGACAGCAATGGATTTGGTTTGGCTTGGAAGCATTATTAATAAATACAGCTTCAAGAAGGTGGCCAAAGCCAAGCACTTGACCACTAGGTTAATACTGCCAGCCAGAATCAGAGCTAGGTTTTAGGGACAAGACGCAAGCACAGTCCTTGTCAAGTGGCTTACAAGTCTGCGTAATAAAATGTACTGTGCTGTTACATAAATAGATATGGGATACAAAAAGCCCCAAAAGAGATCTTCAGTCCTGGAGGGGGGAGGGTAATCAGCAAAAGCTGATAGAAGAGGTGACTTCTGAGCAAAGTCTTGACTCTTGACAAATGAGCAAGTATCCACCAAACAGGGGGAGGTACAGATGGGGCAGCATTCCAGGCAGAAAAAGCAGCCTGCACAAAGGCATGTGGGGAAACGTGAGAAGTTCAGCCTGGCTGGGGAGTGGGACTGGGGTGAAGCCTGCTCTGAGTGCTGAGGAGTTTGAACTTTACCTGTAGAGAGGGAACGAGGAGCCACTAAAGGTGGCTAAGCAGGGCTGTAAATGAGTCTCTCCACAGTTCTGTGGGAAATGAACTGGAGGAAAGGGGCAATAAAGGAGGCAGAGAAACCTTGTAGTAGTTCAGGTGAGAGGTGATACGGACCCCACCTGAGACCCAGCTCAGATATCATCTGCTCTAGGAAGCCCTCCCTGACTCCCTGGATCAGATCGGCTGCCCCTCCCTGAGCATATCTTTCCATATTATATTCTACTATCACTTATACGTCTGTCTGCCTTGCAGACCAGTGAGCTCCACTGAAGCAGGGACCAAGTCTTACTTGGCCTTGTATTTTCAAGGACCAGAACAGGGTGTGATGAATGCTTTTCCACTGAGCATGTGAGTCAGATGGTGAGTGACAGCCATCATGGGCACAAAGAGGAAGGACCCAGGAAAGCGAGGTCAACAAGCCATGGTGAGTAATCAGGTGGATGGGGGCAGCTTGCATTTCCAGGACTCTGAGGCCACTCAAGATAGATGGGAAGGAAAGAAGACTGAGTTCAGTTTCCCGTGGGCATTCAGGCTGGAGAGGCAGGGTAGAGCTGTCAGTACACAAGGGTAGCTTAAGTCATCAGCGGGAATGAATTTGACCTGGGATGCTGGTGTGCACCAACATGGGATGGGCTACCCCCATGCAGGAAGCACTCCATCAGATGCCCTACCCACCACCCCCCAGCTGATACTCGAGCCCAGGATGGTCTTAGACTAATCAATAACAAGTTTCACCGACAGCTACTAGCTTGCTGAGCCCCTCTGAAATCATCAAATCGGTCTCTGGCAGCAGTAAGATTACAGCAAAGCAGAGGATCGTGTTATAAACCATGGAGAAGTCATTCAACCTCTCTGTACCTCAGTTTCCTCATATACAAAATCACAATAGTAATATACTTCCTGCTTTCTCCCACGGGTGTTTCAAAGATAAACTAAGATATAAAAATATTTTTGAAATGATAGCATATGAATGTGATGTATTTTAACTACCTCTTTTCTCTTCAAATCCTTAAAATTGCTGGATCATCTTCCTTCACCACCCTCAAGCACAAGCCACCTCCATTTCCCCATCTAATGACTGGCTCTGGTTGGATTAAAAAACTGTTACCTGCCAAGTGATGCGATGTTACCAAAGGTATAAAACACTATGAAGAGGATCAATCCCTTCCTCGGCACCCACAGCAGGAGAGTACCCTGGAAGTTAAAGCACCAAGAGTCTGCATGTGAGCAACCTTCATACTACAGCCACAAACCAGGAGCTCACACAGGAAACCCTGAGGAACCCGTGCTTTCCCCCTCTGCCTCCCCCATCTCCCTCTTCTCTCACTCATGCATCTTAGTGAAGAGCAAAAGATAAAAAGAGGTGGATAAAAGGGAGAGGATATGCCAAAGAGGGGGATGGGGGAAAGACAGAAAAGGGGAGGGAAAATCTTACCAGCAGTGAGCACAGAATTCCTATAGCAAAACATGCAACGAAACCTTTTATTCTGGTACCCCAGCTTAATGAAGATGCCTCAACAACCTGAAAAAAATTTTTTTAATTGTATTACATATGTGTATATGTATATTTAATTACCAAAAACAAAGGAAGCCCATAATGGAACTAAGAAGCAGTGTGTGAATTTTTACTGTGGAAGGCAGGGAACACAGAATCCTACACACTCAGAGTTACAAGAGACCTCAGGAGTCACAGAATACAGATCTTATCCACAAGTGAATCTCCTCTCTGGCAGCTGATAAGTTACCTCGCCTCTGGTTGAACATTCTGGAGATGGAATCCCAGCCTCAAGCAGAACCCACTTCACAACAGGAAGGCCAGACAGCAGCGCCTTGAGGAGCCCAAAGCCTCACCACGGCCCAGGCAGTAGAAGGACAGCTGGGAAGGCACAAGCTCCACTCAGGCCATTAGGCCCACCGGTCATCCACTCCTACATCAACCAGCCAAGCCTCAGTAGCAGCTGTCCTGTAAGCATTTCTGGGACCTCAGAGGGCAAAACTTCGCATCCTCACCAGGTCTATCATCTGTGTCATTCACTCTTGGTGCACATGTTGTACTTCCAGGGTGCTGGCATCAGCCCAGTCACTCCTGCACCAGACAAACCCTAGTTAATTAATTACTACTCTGCTCATGTTGATTCCATCATCATCATTAACTCCCCCCAAGAGCAAAATTCAGGGGGAGCCATAATTAAAAAAAAAAAAAAAAACTCTACTAAAACTGGTCTAGAGCCTGTGGGTATCTCCCAGTGGTTTTTTCCTATGTCAAAAATAACACTCAAGCGCCTGCACCAGAGACCTTCTGTCCACTTGATGCAGTGGGCACAGCTCTCCAAGCTGGACACAGGCAGCTGCCACTGAAGGGCAAAGGTTCACACCCTGCCAGCCAAGGCAGGGCAGCCAGGCCCCGTATGCCCAGTCACACAGGACTCGCTTTGTGTGGCCATCACCATCTTCATTTGGCAACATGTTGAAAGCTGCCTACCACATTTCCATCCAGCTGATGGGGTAAAGTGGGTGGTGGCAGAGGCTGCAAGAATCACCAGACAGGCAACTCCCTCAGCCTTGACTGTCCCTAGCTCAAGGACCTGTTTTCAGCCCTGTCTCCAACCTTCCTGTCAAACCAGAAGCTGGAAGAGAAGGACCAGAGGCTCCCCTAGGTGTGGCAAGCATTGCTACAGTCGGGCTTAGTCTCCACTCAGGAGGAAGGTATTTAGGTCAAGTTATCAAAAGGGGTCCACTTCCTACCCTCCATATATTCACACCTCTTGCAAAAGGGCTTGTGACACTGGAACACACACACAGCACTTACAGAAGCACATGATCCTGCAGAGAAAGGCACACTTGGAGAGGGCAACATGCAGTGGTAAGCAGGGTAACTGGGCACCTGGTTCCATGCCAAGGGAAACCTCTCCTCCTTAAGGAGTCTGGCTTCTCAAACACCCTCAGGCAGGCCCTCCAAACTGGGCCATATGACGCTCTGTTATCAGGCTTTATTGGTCTAACCCAGACAATCGAGTTAGACCACTTCTAACTAGCCTTAACCTCCCACCAAGCAAAGAATAAAACCAAAAGCCATACTCTTTCTGTTCACCCAAGAACCAAAGAGCTTCCCTTACCAACATGGAAAAAGAAAGCGAGCTGCACATAGGGATAAAAGTGTGGTAGTGGGATTGGTTTTGATGCCTGATCACTACTTGGAATTAACAGGGATGTTCAAAAAGATTTAACCTTCTTTTTTTTTTTGAAGAGAATAAACCATAAAGTATCAAAATTTGAACTGGCCTTGGCACTTAAAGGGCTAAACAGCCAACAGGATGGTGCCATTCCAGCCCTCATAAAAATCAAAATCACTGACAACAGGAAGCAGTTCAAGCAAAAACACATTTCTGGATTCTGCCTTCAGAAAGGAAAGTGACACTTTGGTCCTACAAATCTCTCAAGTGTTACCTTTTTTGTCAGAAAGGGAGGGGGGTTACTTTTCACCACTGAGGTCTTCCACTATATGTGGTAGTAAAGTTCTCGGTCACAGGCAGGAGGAAGCTGTTGTTCACTTCTCCTAACCAGACTCAATGAAAGCAAAACACTTTTTTTGCCAATTTAGTCAGGTACATCACAAGGTCAGGTGTGAGTGTCAAGCCCCACCACCTACACTGGGCACAATAACCCAGCGCGCAGCACTGGGAGGTGGGCAACCGGGAAAGCTGCGGTTCAACCACAGCCGACCTTCGGCCTCCGGCCTCGGCGACCTGCCCAGCAAGGGCTCCCTCCGCCAGGCTCTGGGGCCCCCTGCCCAGCCCGGCCCTAAAGCCCTCAGCCGGATTGGGCCGCTCGCCCTCCCACTTGCCCAGATTTTTCAGGTTTCGTCTCTTTGCGGAGGGGTGTGGGTGGGGTGGGGGAAGCGCAGGGTGTGCTGAAGAGGCGCAAGACTAAGCAGTAAACAGATGCCGACTGGCCTGTGCAAAGCGCTGGGCCGCGCACTTGCGGCTGTCGAATGGGACCCTCGCGGGGTCCCGCAGCGGGGGACGAAAATGGGAAGAGCTGCTTCCTGCAACTCCTGCTCGGCTTCCCACTCGCCATCAACAGTCGCCGGCGGAGTTGAGGGCGGGGGTGGAAAGTCGCTGGGGCTCCGCCGCCACCGCCCTCCGCGGGTTCCTTCGAGCCCCAGGCCTGGGGCGGCGCAGAAACCCGCGGCAGAGGAGGGCGAGGCGGGGCCGTGCGTCCAGGGCGTACTCACCTCGGAAAGGCCGCCCCGGTCCTCGGTGTCCTGCCCGCTCAGCACCTTCTTCAGCTTGTCCATCCCAGGCCTGGTCCGCCGACTCCTGCCCC